ATTTTCTCTCTCTCTCTCTCTCTCTGTTTTTTTCCCCTCTCCTTCCATCTCTCTTTTTGTCTGTCCCAATGGACCGCTCTACTGGCAGAGAGTGGACGCAGTGAGAGAGAAGCTAAAAATAACTTCAAAAAGCAGTTAGCTTCGACATCCCAGCCCAAGTGTGTATTTCCCATAAAATGTGTGTGTTTGCACAGTGCCTGTTGTGATGGTGTTCTCACTCCGGTCTAAATTTGCTCATTGTGCTGCTGGCATGTTGATAATCACGCCCGTCTCATCCTGTGGTGTAAAAATAGACAAACAAACACAATATAAATAAATTTAAAAAATCTAACAAGGCGCCAGCACGAGAACATTACACCTCCTTGGAAAGTAGCAGTTTTTCAGTGGAATTCATTTGAATTTGATGAGCCATGAAATATGAATGGAAAACATGAACATATCTGATTAACCAGGGCTAGACCGCATGCCTGTGTGATGACAGAAAGGCGAGAGATCATGGTGAGAGGTCACAGTACAGGCCTCTCTGTGGCTTTTAGATGGTGAAAATGCCCTTTGTGCTGATCTTCAACAAGCACTCAAGGTTTAACCCAATTCTTCATAGTAACCATCATAAGACAAACCTCACAAATGGTCTCAGATGTGCAGCAAAAGGGCAACCCCTGCCAACAATGATTTCTCTCGCCCAGCTCTTCTAAAGTCTAAGGTCACTCTCACAGGCTCACTACAGTCGATTGGATGGCAATTTGAATTGGAAAAAATCATGTAAAATATTTCTAGTGTTGAAAGAAGTCTCTTTTGCTCACCAAGGCTGCATTTTTTAAATGAAATATTATTACAATTTGAAATAATTGTTTTCAATTTTAATATATTTTAAAATGTAATTTATTTTTGTTTCTTTTGGGAATTTCCAGAAGCCATAACTCCATTCTTCAGTGTCATGTGATCCTTCAGAAATGTACTGTATTTGAAGTATCAATATTTTGTAAAATGGTGTAACGTATTTATCTAAAATTATATTAGATAATTTTTTTTAATTTCTTACTGACCCCAATTTTCTTTTACATGGAATAGAATAGAATAGATGCATTTTTCTGCCATTGTTGATTCATTCAAAAAGAATCACTGACTTGAATCAGTCTAACTGAATGTCTTACTGAATACCTGTCTTATTTATTTCACTTGATGTTTATATGATACTAATTTTTATTCTATGTATATTATTTTTGAAAAATGGTTAAAATATGTTATAAAAATGAAATAATATTGTTTAGTATACCATTAGAGCCAGGAATGGGTGGCTGACCTTGCTGCAAGAGGAAAAAGGAGTTTGGTTATGTCAGTGCTTGTATTGTTTATTTATTTATTGTTTGTTTTTATTGTAAGCATATTAATCTTTAAACTATTCATTCTCCTTGCCTTTTCACCGTAGGGCCGTGTAAATGTATCACTGAGTACATTTAAACAGGGTGCCCTCTGAGATCCCCCCAATTAGAGAGGTATGGAACAATAATGCTAGCGCTTAATTGCATTAACATAATGCCTCCTAACGATCATTACACTCACCAAAATAGTTGTGATAATAAAGCCATTACTATTTTGAGAGCACAATTAGCCTACGGTGCCACCCTTTGTGATGTTCTAATTGCGACATTTAGACGTGCACGCATTCCGTTCCTCATCCTGTTGGGAGGAGAGGATGGGAGGCGGAACGGTTGTCATAGACCGCTGCAATTTACGTCCTCGTCTGAGACAGACGTGTCACCTGCATTCCGCCGTACTATCCGGCAGCGACGCAAGCTTATTGGTTGTATAGATAGACGCCGTTCTCCAAATCTGTCAGAGGTGAAAGAAATGGCTAAAGATAATAGAGTTAGATGGATAGATAGAAGGGAAAAGGAAGACACGGAGAGAGTGTTGGCGAGATATAGGGAAGGATAGAAATGGAGAAAGAGATTGGTTTTCATGCCTGGTAGTCAGCAGCTCTGTAAATCTCCGAGGACTGAAGAGGGGGAGAGCAGAAGGTTGATAGTCATCCATCACTTTTGACAATTCCACCTCTCTGTCGCCACTTACTTGACGGAAGACCCCGAGCGATTGGGAGAGAGAGCAACAGAGAGTCTTTTTATAGAGGAAGATGGCAACACTCTTCCATTTTGTTTATGTATTTGTCTGATCCTGAGTGAGAGATTGTGGCACTACAGTTCAGTATTGTGATTGAAAGCGGAGCTGAGTGGCCTGGCATCAGTAATATGTACAGTAGGGATATAATCTGGAGACAAATATCCCCTAAAGGAACAGTCCACGCAAAATGAAAATTCTGTTATTTATTCACCTCTGTTGACTTTATTTCTTCATGATAGCTCTTTTCTATGCAATTAAAATGAATGGTGACCATGGCCGTCAAGCACGATTTTCTTAACTTTCAGTCTGTTTCTCAAACAAAGGTATTGAATGACTTCAGAACACTTGATATATAGTGCACAAGTCATTTGAAGTACTTCTGTGAAGCAAACAAAACTGAATTAAGATGGATTATGACACTGTTGTCTTTCTATGTCTTTGTTTTGTAACAGAAACAAATTTGTTTCATTATTAATTAATTTTGCAAAATCAACACTGTTAGTGAACAGAATTGAATCAGCATTGAACTGATTTGAGCTGAATAACAACACCATTGTCTTCTGTAGAGCTGCTTATAGCAGAATTTCATAATTGATGATTTTTACACATTTATTGAACTTAAGCTGATTAATGACACTATTGTCTTTGTAGAGCAGCTTTGCAGCAGAATTTGAATTTGTTTCATATTTGAAGAAATTTGCGTAATTGATTTTGTTATGTTCCTGTTTAGTACTGTGAAGCTGCTTTGAAACAATTTATACTGTATAAAGCGCTATGGAAATAAAGGTGAATTGACTTGACTAGACATTCTGCTAAACTTTTCATTTGCTGTTCCACAGATGAAACTTCACAATACAGGTTTGAAAATGATTTAAGGGTGAGTAAATGATGACAGAATTGTGATTTGGCTAAACTATCCCTTTAAGTCATGTCAGAATGGAGGGTTAAATCATGAACCATGACACATCAAAATGAACTAATGCAATAAGGGTAGAAAGGATGTAAAAGTCCATTTAGTTTGACCGATCCATGCATTACAATACATTTTGATACAATTTTTTTTAATTTTGGAAAATGTAAGTTGACGTAGACGCAGAAGAACATTGATTTATTGCATGCACAGTAGCGTGACTCACACATATAAGCTACTGGCATAGGGTTAAGTATTACAAACACGTATACAAAGGTCTTTCCCTCATAGCTGCACTCAGAGCCATCAGTAGGTTAATGGAATGCTTTTAAAGCTCTCTGAGCACCATTGTGTGAGTGAATGTGACCTTTTGCATTGTGTCGTCTGTGTTTTGCTGGACGGTCAGTCAAAAGCGATGGAGAGGCCTAATTAAACATATTAGAATCACATGTTGCTGCCACACAATGGAGCGGTAGATTGCAATTGCCTTTTCACTGAATACGGCAAAAGCGCCCACTTCCTGGTTTTCCAGTGGAATTAAATAATCCTGCACAAAAGGCTCTGAATGCCTGAACCAAACAAAAGGTCTACGTGCCTGCTGCTTCAGAAATGCTTGCCGGAGTTTTCTGTTATCTGATATCACAGTTATTGAATACATCCCTTTTTAAGAAGGAAATTAAAAGCTGACATTAAATTGTAGCTCGACATGTTTGCAGTTTGTCAGTATGTGAAATTTCTCCTCTCTTTCTCTAGAATGTGTTTGTGCTAAATCAGATTTGGATTTTTATAGCACAGCTTTGAGGACAGGTATTGGCCTTGTCATCTTGTTTCTAGAGGTCATGTGCCCAGTTGTAACAAACCCTTTAAGAAAGTTAAGTCTGATAATATCACTCTGGACCTGGTCGTTTCAATTCGTGGTATTGCTGTGATGGATTGTTTATAGTTTACAGGAATATTTCACCATGAAAATTCGACTTCTCTCCTCATTTACTTCAGCTACATTTTCCCAAACTCTTGTGATTTCATTTCTTTTGTGGAACACAAAGATATTCTGCAGATGCCCTGAGTGATGTTTTGGGGAAAAGAAAAATTGGTTCATGCACCTTTAATAATTAAAACTGACTTTTTTAAAAAACGCACTGAAAAATTGTGTAAGATTTAATTTTAAACAATTTTCACTCAGAAATGGATAGTAAATTTAACAAATAATTACAAAGAAACCGCAAGTAACTCATTGAATGTAACAACATTTTGAAGTAGAAAGACTGAATTAGTATTTTCTTGTAAAACATACTGCAGTTTGCTTTGTTCCCTTTCGAACGGTCTCTCCCGTTGTGTTGACACGCTCATGGGGAAACTCCTGTTTACTCTAGTACTGAAGCCTGATTTGTTCATGTTCGTGTAGCTGCATGAACTAATGCCGCTTCAACTCGCCAAAAGGTGAGGAGCTGACCTCGATAAAAGTCATCTCTGAGCGCCATTTCATCAGAATTTTTCTCCTTCAGTGACGAAGATCATCTCCTTGCTGACTCTGCAAGCAAGAAGCAGAAGAAGAAAGAAGCTCAGTTCAGCCAGAAGCCTTCCCCTGTGGGCATTGTTTCAAATGTCACACCGCGAGTGTGGCGATGCATAAGGGCACAGTGAATGCGCCCTTGTGAAGGCTGCGGTCATTGAGACGGCATGCTCTCACTGCAAGAGCATGAGTCTCGCCCTTCTCTGCTCGCGGATCGCCTTCTTTCATTAAGGCGGTCCTCCCCACTCTGCTCTCCTGTTTCCTCTCTCCCCTAGAAAAAAGAAACAGTGGAGTAGCAGGGTTTTAATAATGGGCTCGAGTGAACTCACGCCAGTGCAGCTCCCGCGTGCTTCACTCTCCCCCCAATGCCTCAATTCGCCAGTGTGCTTTACACACTCAGCCCTAGCAAACTGGGCTTATTCAGTGGCTGCCCAGGCTGACTCAGCACTTCACATGATGGCGGTGCTTCAAGTGTTCAAGGCCAAACATCTCCTCACCATGGATGAGTCCGGCCAGAGTTCTGATGCCTTTAGAGAGCTGCGCACAGCGACTTACCTGGCTCTGTGCTCTACTAAGGCCACTGCGCAGGTGATCGGCAAGGCCATGGCCATTTTGGTGCTGCTGAAGCATCTTTTTGGCTGAATTTGATGGAGATCAGGGACGCTGACAAGGTCACCTTCCTAGACTCGCCAGTCTCTCCTAAGAGACTGTTTGACCCTGCCGTGGATGGGTTTGCCGAGCAGTTTACAGCGACACAGAAATCATCGCAGGCAATGTGTCACTTCCTTCCGTAGCGCTCCAGTGCGGTGGCTGGTTCAGGTTGCCAGAAGGCTTCATTCACTCAGCAGCCTGCCAAGCCAGTGCCGCTTTAGCCCCAGCATAAACCTGAGCCTGGTCTTCAGCAGCAGCCCTGGATAGAAAAATGCTAACTGAAATGCCAAGGTCCCTACCCCAGAGTGAAGTTGGACACTGAGCCTCAGAAGCCGTCTGATCTGAGCGCAGAGGCTGGAACTCCCTCAAAGAAAGCTTGCACTCGCTCTCCATTTCTCCACTTAACACCGAGCAATGGAAGCTCTATTCAAGCTGGACCCATCCTTCTCACTCAGTGCACGCTCAAGCAAACTACTGCTGTGATAGCGGACCCACATACTCAAAAAAGCATTTCTCCTCTCCTCATTACCACAAATGTCAGTTTCCTGCCCCCGTGCAGCGAACTTCAATTCGAAAAACTAGAATCACTTGCCATCCGGCTTCAGGCTTGGAAAGCTATCCCGGATGTGTCAAGTTGGGCTCTAAAAACCATAGAACAAAGTTACTTTTATCAGTTCGCTCACAGGCCACCTCACTTCAGAGATGTTATTCAAACTTCGGTATGGGACAACGATGCTCATGTTCTCCAGTCCGAAGTACAAACACTTGTCACACATGTTGGCCGCTTCCTCTGTGATTCTTCTGGGCCTGCTCAACACACAGCCCCTTTAGTACTGGCTCAAAGCTCATGTTCCGTCCCACGCTTGGTGCCTGGGATGTTTTCATCTCAGGGTAACCCACCGCTGCATCAGAGCCGTGGCCCCTTGGAAAACCTCTCGCCTGTTTCAATCAGGTGTCCCATTGGGACTGACCTTCAGAAGAAAGGTGGTCATGATAGATGCCTCCAACTCGGGTTGGGGAGCTCTGTTTGAGGGCAGACGGGTGTCTGGCTCCTGGTCAAACCTGGAGCAATGCTTACACATCAACTTGACAACATGACATTTGTAGCCTTTATCAATCAGCAAGGAGGTCTCAGGTCATGCTCCCTTCACAGGTGGCTCGACGCCTCCTTCTATGGGTTTATGTGCCGGCAGACTGAACCAGGGGGCAGACATGCTGTCCAGGGACAAGGTAGCTCCAGGAGACAGGAGCTCAGAGATTTAATCTGCCTCGTCCTCATACTGTGCCAACTTGGGACTTGTCTATAGTCCTCAGGGCCCTACGGGGCCCTCCCTTTGAGCCACTCCAGTCGGCCGACTTGCGGCCCCTGTTGCTTAAGACCACTCTCCTTTTGGCTGTAGCGTCGGTCAGGCGAGGGGGTGACCTACAAGGACTGTCAGTCAGTGCTTCCTATCTTGAGTTTGGGCACAGGAGCTCATTTAATCTGCCTCGTCCTCATACTGTGCCAACTTGGGACTTGTCTATAGTCCTCAGGGCCCTACGGGGCCCTCCCTTTGAGCCACTCCAGTCGGCCGACTTGCGGCCCCTGTTGCTTAAGACCACTCTCCTTTTGGCTGTAGCGTCGGTCAGGCGAGGGGGTGACCTACAAGGACTGTCAGTCAGTGCTTCCTATCTTGAGTTTGGGCCTAACAACTGTAGAGTTGTCCTCAAACCGAGATGTGGCTATGTGCCGAAAGTGCTCTCCTCCCTGTTCAGAGCAAGTCATCACCCCTCTGGCACTCCCCAATTCATATGGTGAGCAGGGTCCCAATCCACTCTGCCCTGTTCGGTTTCTTGTATGTTGAGCACTCTGGTCTGTTTAGACAGTCAGAACAGCTCTTTGTGTACTTTGGAAGCAGCTCTAAAGGGCTGCCGGTTACGAAGCAGAGACTATCTTGCTGGATAGTGGATGTTATAGCCTTGTCTTACGCCTCAGCAGGTTTGCAGTGCCCTATAGGTGTGAGGGCCCACTCCACTAGAGGAATGTCCTCCTCTTGGTCTTGGTCCAGTGGGATTTATATCTGTGATATTTGTGCGGCGGCTGGATGGTCATCACCGTTTACCTTCACTAGGTTTTATAACTTGGACGTCTCTGCCATGCACGGATTTTGTCCGCTTAATTCTATCTAATCCCCTTATAAGTGGAGAGGGTTATGTTATGTAGTTCTCAGCCTAAACGGCTTGGATCTCATTATTGGCTCATGCCTTCAGGAGCCCTCAGTAAGAGTGCTCCGGGGCTGGGCGCAGAGCGGCTTCGTTCTGCACTTGCTAATAGCACTGCACTATTGGACACGTTCCCCATAAGCGTGTCAATGCAATGGGAGAGACCGTTCGAAAGGGAACACTCCAGTTACTAATGTAACCTTGGTTCCCTGAGATGAGGGAACAAGTGTTGTGTTGGCTGCCGTGCTATAAGACTGCACACGAATCAATGACTGTCACTTCAATCGAAAGATTCTGACGAAATGGCGCTCAGAGCCGACTTATATAGAGGTCGGCTCCTCCCCTTTTGGTGGGTTGAAGCGCCGTTGGTTCGTGCAGCTACACAAACGTGTACAAATCAGGCTTCAGTACCAGAGTAAACAGGAGTTTCCCCATAAGCATGTCAATGCAACACTCGTTCCCTTATCTCCGAGGTTAAGGGAACCGAAGCTACGTTAGTAACCAGAGTGTTTTATTTACAGTGTTAAACAATCCTTTTTTTTGTTTAGAATTACAGGCAAAACAGCTTTCTTCTTCTTCTGTGGTGTACCTGAAAAAATTTGTAAAAAAAAAAATTGTAGACATTTTATTTAAGTAAACTATTTAAGTTTTGTTTTTTGTTTTCTCTGAGAATCATATTAAGTGTCAAGACTATATGAAATAATGCTGGACACTTATTTTAGTTTAAAATAACTATTAATATTCATTTGCTGTGGTTGTACCAGTGACATACAAAGCAAGGCTATATTCAATTCTTCCATTTTAATTTTATTGAGCAAAAATACATTTTAATCTTCAACGGAATTCAAGTACTTATATTTTAATATATGTTTTATTATATTTTAATGAAGAGAGTTGAAATGTGATGCCATTTACAGTATTAAGGCTCAGTATACTGTATTTAACCCCTGTCACTATATGTACTTTTATATTCCCCACTGCATTCTGCATTATTCAGTGTCATTAAGCTAATATATCTCCATTTAACTTTCTTAGTAAGAACATGACTTACAGAGGGCAAAGTACATTATTTGTGTCTCCCTCCATTTAGACAAGTCTCTTAAATATTTCAGCAGTGTTTTCCCCAGAGCAGGACTCTGCAGATCGTTCAGTATCAAAAGACACCATTTGCCCCCAAACACTGTTTGACATCCAACTATTTCTGTTTAGGAGCACTGGGTAGGTCATTGCTTGTTGGCAGCCTTTTTCTCGTTCACTTTTCTGTTGGTTTCTTATTCTCTGTCTCTTAACAGTGTAAATCATTAGTTCACCCGTGCAGCTCAGAGCAGCTTGTTGTTGAGATGTAGGAGAATTTCGCCTCTGGAGCAAGTGTGTGACTCATATAAATAAGAGGATTCTTCTTTAATCCCAGAATCAGGTTTTAATGAGATCTTTACTACAGCTATGCAGCCACTAACTATATAGCAACAGCAGCTGTTAACATAAATTATATGGTTGCTATTGTGCTATGGTACCACAAAAGTGGAGTATTATTTATTAATTGCAGAGTCTGCAATGATGCATAGAATGTTTTCCTTTTCTTTCTTCCTCTACATCTTCTTTTTTGATATATTTTAGATATATTTTCTACATTTATTTAGTGTATTTACATTTAACTTTACATTTCAATTTACTTTACATTTCAATTTAAAATAGCTGTTTCCTATTTGAATATATTTTAAAATGTAACTTATTCCTGTAATGGCAAAGTTATTTTTCAGAAGCCATTACTCCAGTCTTCATTGTCACATGATTCCTCAGAAATTATTCTAATATGTTCATTTGGTGCTCAATAATTTTTTTTTTTTATAATTGTCAATGTTGAAAACTGTTATGCTGCTTAATGTTTTTGTGGAAACAATGATACTTTTTTCAGGATTCTTTGATGAATAGAAGGTTCAAAACAACAGCATTTATTTGAAATAAAAATCTTTTGTAACATTATAAATGTCTTTATTTCACTTTCAATCAATTTAATGTATCCTTGCTGAATTAAAAAAAAAAAAAGAATCTTAATGACTCTTAAATATAGGTGACCCTAAACATTTGAGTGGTAGTATAAATGTAAATATTTTCTAATGTAAATAAATTAGTATTAGCATATGTACAGTTTATATACTGTATAATGCCGATACTAATGTATATATGTTATAAATTACATTTACATGTTGATCAGATGGTTTATTCTAGCCTTTGTGGGAGAAACTGCTAGAATAAGCTTCAAAGTGGATCATAGTTTAAAGGGGTCATATGATGCGATTTCAATTTTTCCTTTCTCTTTGGAGTGTTACAAGCTCTTGGTGCATAAAGAAGATCTGTAAAGTTGCAAAGACTAAAGTCTCAAATCCAAAGATATTCTTTATAAAAGTTAAGAGTTAACCACGCCTACCTAAAACGGCTCGTTCTAACACGCCCCCACATATCTACCTCACTATGTGGGAAGATATGCATAACGCCGCCCAAATGTTCACGCAAAGAAAGAAGGCGTAACTTTTATTCTCACTGTAGTATTGTTGCCGCTGCCGCCATGTCGTGAAGACGCTGTGTGCTTCGTTGTGAAAGCGAAACTACTTTGTTTGGCCTTCCAAAAGAGGACGATATCCGCTTCGTCATGCCTAGAGCTGATCTGTGCTGGTCGCTGAGGGAATACATCAGCTTAGTGCTGTGGATCGCCGGATCGGCTTTCACCGTGGACGAAGCGGAGTCCAGCTTGTGGTTGCCGC